CACATATATATATATATATATATATATATATATATATATATAATACAAGTTTGTTTATTTAGAAGTTTAAAATTTGTTTTAAAAAAATTTTCTATCAAAAATGTGAAAAGAAATATATTATTGAACAAGTTCGCACTCAATAAGTGTTTTTTATATAAATATCTGTATCAAATTTTATTTTTATAATAATTATTTTATAAGTCATTATTTTTTATTTTTTTTATTATATATATGTTTAAATTTTATTACACAACTTGCTTTTAACATTTAACTAATTAATTTAGAGTTTAAAGTTTAACATTTATTAACGATGCCATATATAGTAGTGAAAAATCTGAAATGATACGTATAAAATATTAAATTTAAATTTTATCTTCATCATTATAATTCTTACAAGTAAAAAAATGAAATTATTATTATAAAATTTTCATCATCTTTTTTATTATTATTTTTTATTTTAAAAAACTGAAGACATAAAATGCTCTTTCTCCATCATCTATAACAATTACGTAATAAAAATATTGTTTCTTCGTCTGTTTTTAAAAAATAAATATATAATTTTGGTGTTCACTTGTTTCTTTCCGATTTCCTATCATTTAAAAAAAATAAAATAGTGTACAGAAGGGTATTTTGGTCCAACCGTTAGTCTGCGAATGTCGCCTCCGTGGTTCATGCATTTCACATATACTTTGCACACTCCTCCAGTTCGCATTTGATTTGGTGAGATGAGGTGCACGGTTCTATGGAATATGGGCCTTGGACTTCACGAAAATGATGTTACTTTATCAAACACATTTTTTATTCATTTTCTATTATCCTTATCTATGGGCCTTGGACTTCCCGAGAATAACGTTACTTTATTCAAGTTTTTCTCTCTTTCTATTATACTATACTTGAGTGAAAATAAATAAAGTGACATGTATTTGAGAGAAGGAAATATACGGAATATGCAATTACGTAAAACATTATCTTGAATGGGAATTGAGTGGTATGTTACACAGAGTATCTTTTATTTTATTCTAAAATAAAAATACTCAATAAAGGTACAACAACATCTTTTATAATAAAACTATTATTCTAGTGATTGTAATCTATATTTTTATCTATATTATTAATTATTATTTGTTAACAGAAAGGACATCACTCTATTTTATTATTTTACATATTTGTCTTTATGTAATCAAGTTCTAAATAAAGGAAATATTGTCTATATATATTATAAACGAAATAAATTTTGATAATTTTTTTGATTTCCATTTTTATATTTATATTTATTATAAAGAAAATAAATTTTGATAATCATTATTTTAATTTTAATTTTTATATTTGATATTACTACTTTTAGATTTATTAAAAATAATTAAAATAAATTTTCATTTTTGTTCCATTATTTTTATATTTTATACTTATTATAAAGAAAATAAATTTTATTTTAGTTTTTATTTTTATATTTAGCACTATTGTTTTTAGATTTAACAATTTTTTAAAAAATTAATTTTTTTATTTTTATATTAAACACATTATCTTTAAATTCAATAATTTTTAAAAAAATTAAAATAAATATATAAAGAACCGGCTTTCTTTCATAAATATTTTCATGTGATCATATTATCTTTTTGTAATTAAGTTAAAATTAATTTTACTCACACAATAATTAATGTTTAAACAATACCTACTAGTATATGTAAACGGTAAACACAATAACTAAATATAATTTCACTTGTTTTTACTGCCAGTCATTTAAAATAAAATACACGCGAAAACACCCAGTAATCTATAATTACGATTATGATTGAGATATCGTAATATCACTAATATGCAAGAGTTTTACTCGCTCTTTTTTTTATTAAGGAGGGCTAATAGTTTTTTTAACTATTATTCATCATTACTCACACCAAATAATTAAAAAAATATATGATTGAATTGAAATTTTTATTTAATTTTTAATGTATCGTTAATTACTTATATTTATTCTTATTCTTTCAAATTTGTAATAAGGTTAGTCTTCCAGATTTTTTTAATTCTTATAATTTTAAAATAATTGTTTATGTCTGTCGATACTACTTGTAAGTTAATAATATTGGTTACTATAAATTTACACATATCTACTTTAAATTTAAACTTTCATAATTTTATTCTTAGTTATTTTACAAAAAAAATCTCACATCTTTATATAAATATTTTTATTTATTTTTATGATTCATAGATGTGAAATTTTGTATATATTCCAATACTTTTTTATATATTATTTGTATATATATAATTAGAATAATTTAAAAAAATTCTATACCATTTTTAGAAAATGATAAAATTTTATGAAATTTTTTAAATTTTTTTATTAAATAAAAAATAAATAATAAAAACATTGTAGTAACCAGTTTAGATATTTAAGTCAAGAAAAAAAAAAGTCAAGAGAACGTGCAAATTACAATGTTCAATGGTTTCTTTGGTACATGAATATTAATCATTTTCGGGTCAACTAATTTTGGTGGCTATTGACAATGAGAGGGCCAATCTAGAAATAATAGAAAAATGTTTTGACAAGTGCACGTGTGAATTTGAAAGCTTCTCGTAGCTTTCCAAAATCTCGTTCCAATAGTTTTATAGATTCTTATATGAATTAAGGACTTCCAAAGCAGTAGTTGTAACTTGATATGCTTTTTTTTTTAATTAATTATGTTTGAGACGCTCTCGACACTAAATATAAGAATCTATTCTCTTCAATAAAAATAAATAAATAGAACCTTAGTTCATTTTATTTTGGGAAAACTAACTTATTCAATCAACATAATCTCATTAGTATTTTTTTCCCTAATCTTCTACCTTGATTAATATGTCTTAAGTTAACATATTTGCTCTTCAAAAGTCAAAACACAAAATATCCCTAATCTCCTTCGAATAAATAATAATATGATTAATCTTTCATCCACCTGTAAAATTAACATATTCAACTATACATAAAAGCATATCATTTAAAGATACAAGTTCTAATAACATTAATTACTAACAAATTCATTTCCTTTATGTTTACTAAAATAGTTCAGCAAGATGAATAAATGAATTTATTTTGAAACTAAATTAAACCAAAAATAAATAAAAATTAGTGGATTCAATGTTCCAAAATCATTAAAATCTTATTTGGTAAAGATATTTGTACTATAACCTGGCTGAGTAAATAAATTCGGCCAAGTTTGACTGAGTAAACAAGCTCGGTTAAGGGATAAAGACATCGATAAATCACATTGACTTATAATAGTCATGTCATCTTTCAAGTTACTTCGTCATTGGTCAAAAGCTAGACCATTTCCCAACTGACGAGATAAAGAGATAAGTAAGCGATCTTATCTTAACTAATAACGATAATTTAAGCATCAGAGTCTTTTTTACAGGTATCACCTCCATCCTGGAGTGACCAACTCATGAAGCAAAGGAGTTTCGTCGATCTCATCAGAGATGTTGTCTCTAGACCAATATCAGGCGAGAACAATATTTCTTTGACTTCAAAATCTTTTAAGAGTCTCTACTTACTTTCAATTCAACATTTATAATTTAAATTGAACACTTACTATAATTTTAACTATCTACAAAAGTATAATTTTAACTATCTACAAAAGTGTATAATAGTGTGTGGTTAAAAAATTTACGGTGTGTCATTAACTTTTTGTCTAAAATAATCATGAAGCGCATGTCATCTATTTTCTACCATTTTATGAAGAAAAAAAACAAAAAATTGTTATAATTTTTTAATTTTCTGAAACGTACCACTAAAAATCTCTAAAAGTGTCTCCGAAACCCCCATAGATTGAAAATAAATTGTTTTATCATGAGAGGACTCTGTTACATGTTTTATAGTTTAGGATTTCTGTTATAAATATTTTTTTTCTTGTTTATGATAGCAATAATTTTCCAAAGACAATAAATAAAACACGATCTAACATTAATTATAAACACCTCTTTTGTCCATGCATCATTTTACTTAAAAACTCTGTTCCAAATCAATAATTTTAAGAAAAATTACTTGGTAAAAAAGCGTTTCCTTTCACCAGTGAAGCCCTTAATTAGTTAGTTGAGCTGAGTTTGAAAATCATGTAGCGTAGCCCAAAACTCGGGGGCAACGTGGAGTGATGGAAGTGGACGAATCCGAACACGGTTCGGGTATTACCATAGCCACATGTTCAAACTCAAACGATCCTGAGAGAAAATAGCAGTAGCCAAAATTAATCCTGCAAATATTCCTGAAGACTTGAACCTTCTTGAACAGGCATAATGTGCTCCACTTGTTTCAAAGCCTAAAAAATAGAATAGAAAATGGTGTTAACGAGTCCACTCCACACACCACTTGTTTTCCCCACCACAAGGAGAAAGATCTCGCGTGTGATCTCCCCGGTTCATACCTCATCCCCTCACCCATACCAAACTCGACCACGGTGTCCCGGTTACTTTTTATTATATAACTTTTCTCGGTAATTAACCATGCAATTTGCACTGCATACACACCATGAATGATGCATGCAATGACTCACATTCCAAACATTAGTAATTTATTGGAGTCGTCGTCTCCTAAGATAATTGACCGAGAAAAGTCCTTGGTGGCTAACTAGTTATACTTGCCTACCGGCTGCTGTGGACCAACTCTATTTAATTTAAATCTCAATGTTTAATTAAAAATTAAAAAAAAAATGGAGTCGTTTAACTTTTTGGTGATTTTGACTTGTGCAAGGTGTTTGTTTTAGTTCACTTGTTGTATCTTGTACTTGGTCTTCCCTTCAAGTAACAATTTATTTGACCGACTTGAGAAGTCTACTAGCCTAGCCACCAAGAAACCAAAACTATTATTCTCATGACTCACTAAAACACGTGCTCCACTCTTTCCATTGCGCTGCGCCTACTTTTCTCACCACTTGTCACGCAACTTCCAAGCTCTAATCCCCCCTCCTTATAAATTCTCCCACACCCACTCTTTCACTCTCACACTTCACCTCCAAACACACACAATCAAAGTCTCTTCTCTCTCACGCACAATTCATCACAAGCTACCGCACCATCCAATGGCTCTCGAAGCTCTTCAATCACCCACCGCACACACTCCCTTCGAGGAACCCAATCTCAGTTGCCTAGAAGCACCCTGGGCCAAGCGAAAGCGTTCAAAGCGTTCCCGCATGGACCCACCCCACCCTTCCTGCACCGAGGAAGAGTACCTCGCTCTCTGCCTCGTCATGCTCGCTCGCGGCGGCAACGCCGCCGCCGTCTCCGCCGTCAAACCTGCTCTCGCCGACGACAACTCCGCGCCCAAACTCAGCTACAAATGCTCCGTATGCAACAAGGCCTTCTCCTCTTACCAAGCACTCGGCGGACACAAGGCCAGCCACCGGAAGTTCGCTGCCGCCTCCGGCGCCGCCGAAGATCACTCGACCTCCTCCGCGGTGACGACGAGCTCGGCGTCGAACGGCGGAGGAAGGAGCCACGAGTGCTCGATTTGCCACAAGACGTTCCCGACGGGACAGGCCTTGGGAGGACACAAACGTTGTCACTACGAAGGCGGTGGTGGTAACAGCGCCGTAACCGCCTCGGAAGGTGTGGGGTCCACTCACACAGGGAGCCACCGCGATTTCGATCTTAACCTCCCGGCTTTTCCGGACTTCTCCACTAGGTTCTTCGGAGATGACGAGGTTTCCAGTCCTCTACCGTCCAAGAAGCCTCGTCTCAATTTGACTATACCAAAGATCGAAATCCCTCAATACTAATTATCCATAGATCCAAACATATTCAGTTCTTTTTTTTTTTCTTTTTTTTAAGTTATTTGAGATTAATTTGTTCTTTGTAAATATATATAGTACCTGGACCTGGATTGGACCTTGTTGGCTAGTTTCAGAATTTAGATTGTACCTTGACGGTGGTAATTCAATTCAATTCATTTATTTTTATTTGTGAAAATGGAATTCATCTCTTATCTCTCTCTTAACTTTATCATCATAGCATAGTATGATTGTTCTAGAATACGACGCGGAGACATCATGAAACAGCAGAGCCGCGTGAACGGTGCGGCAAGTTTGTTTAAGTTCATGTTCAGTTGAGGCCACTTGCGCGTGTTTCTTTCTGTTTGGGTTGGTGACGGTTTTTACTGTTGGTGTGGTGGTCCACGTACCAACTCAAACTTTTGTAATTTTCTTTTACCAAAATAAACTCTTTTTTTTTTATTTTATTTTGATGATTAAGATTGGGCGATTGGGAGTGAATAGTTATTTAATGAGCAACTTGGTAGCTGGGCCTGGGTGGATGACATGGGATGGGAGGAACAGAGCTTTGGTTAATTTGTTTCGTGTTTGGTGTGTGTGAGAGTGAGGATAAGAACGAAGAAGAAGGGTTTGGGTTTGGTATTTTACGCGCTGACACGTGGATTACTTATCCTTCCATTGTTGGTATTATTGAAGAACGCGACCCTGTGCGACACGTTATTGAATGGTCATATAGTGAATGCCAAAGTTGGTCAGATAGGTTTTACATTCCCATGAACATAAATGAGCTGAAGTTTCCTTTTGCAGGTGTGAGATGCAGTATAGAAAAGCGATTAGAATTTGTTGCCGTGATTCGTTGTATTTGTACGTGTCAATTAGTACACTATTATTTACCATACTTATCTCTAAGATAGAGTTCACACGCGGTGTCCAAATCTTAGAATTAGTAAAAGAAAAATGCGTCTTTTATTTGGGCAAGGAGGTGCCCAATTTTGTGCCAAACTCTGGTGGTGTGGAAGATTCGCGTTAAATGAACCATATTCCCTTTACGTGTTAATTAGAGTTGGAGGGGAAAAGTCCACCAAGAGCCCCATTAGTGTCCATACTAGGAATCTGCAATCTTCGTCTCTCTGCCAATCAACTAACTCCTGCATAACGCGTTATTACACGTTTTCTAATTATAGCTGCACTTCACACGTTTACACCTCTAACTAATTACTTCTCTTCAGTCATCATTCTTCTATTATAAACTCAGATTCTATTTAGTAAAATTTATGCCATTACATTAATATTTAATTTCATTGAATGCATCATTAACTAATAAGTTTTATTAGCCCATAGAAATTAAGTTCTATTGTCATTTAGTGAAGTATTGTCATATAATTTAATAAATTTCATATTTGAACTTTAATCATTATTAAATTATATTTTAAGATTAAATTTAGATTTAGAAAAATTATTCACACGAGGCTCGTGTTCAAAACGTTTATAGATATTTATATATCTCTAGCTCTGACTTGTTAATGAATGATCATTGAGAAGTATCAAATTCAAATATTGACCTGTACAGTTCCATGTTATACATATGGACTTTGTTTTTAAGATATTAGGTAATGTTATGCGACTCATAATGTTATACAATATTACATATGGACTTTATTTTTTAAATATGAATTTAATATAAATTCACTAATCATGTCAAAATTGTACGTTATCCCACCACGTAAAAATTTTAATTATCGTGTTACATTTTAAAAGTAAATTGTATACTTTAATTTAACCTCTTCTTTTCATTTTGTAATTTTATCCGAGAATTATCAAATTTAACTTTGATCCTTAATTTCTCATATATGTTATTCATAACATTGAACTAGTAATTGTTAAAGTCTTGTTTTTTAAGTTAGTATATTAAATATCATCATACTATGTTATATTAATTTTGTTTTTTTTATAAAAAAAAACACTTTTAAAAAATTTGTGTATTGAAATTATAAAGATGTTTGGGTAAATTTTTATAATTTAATTTAATAATTAGAAATACAAGATAAAATAAAAACTGAATTCCTTTTTTTTTTCCAAAAACAACTTCGAATTGCTTTTAAAAACAAGTTGATGCAAGAGATAAAACACTTTTATAATTCAAAACCAACTACTCCCCCAGTTCTTTTTTACGTGTCGCAATTGCAATTTTAATTTTAATTTAAATTTTTTTACTTGTTATTTTAAAATTTTAAGATAATATTAATTAATATATTATTAATTATATTTTTACCTTTTATTTAATTCTTAATTAATTTACTCATGATAATTAATATATATTTTTTATGAAGTAAAAATGAAGTGGGTATAATGAAAACATCAAAAATATTCTATACAAAATAGAAAAATTACTAACTTTCTTGTCTTATATAAAATAACTTAAATGACTGCTATGAAAGAATGAGGTAGTAGTATTTTAGTTTGTGAAAGCATATGCTAATTATTTATTATTATATCTGTTCTTATAGATAAGATTCAAATATTTAATTCATTAAGATTAAAAAAATAATTAATCTAGTTGATAATAATATATTTATCTTATTTGTATATATTTTTAAAATTATTATTTACTATTTTTTCCTCATAACTAATATTTACATATTTCTTAACTAATTAGAATGCATGTCATATGTTATGTTTTTTTCATGATTAATATTATTTACTCTTCTTCCAATTATAATACATCCCTTTTAAAGAGTTTGTAACTAATTTATTCCATCAAATTAAGAAAACATGTTTAAATTATGAGTATTTTAGTCTCAAATTAATTAATGTATCAAACACTATGAATCGAGTCTTATATAAAAGATCAAAAAATAATTATAAGTTGGTCTTATAAATAGAAAATAAATTAGTATATATAACTAAAATTTATAATAAATTATACATACAAATAAATATTATATTTGAATACATTAATTATATTTAAATATTATATAAATAGATAATTTAAAACATATAAATTATATTTTATATTTATTATACATAATTTGTATTATAGTATAATATTATTTTTATTTAATGATAATTTATTTATAAATATTAAAATTTAATTAATAAACAATTATGATAAAAAAATTTAAAAAAATCTAAAAATCCTTTCATAAAAGAAACAAACTTCTAAAAATATTCTCCCATAAGATAAATATTTGTATTTAAAATAGTGAGATTGATTAAAAAAAACACCTTGAAATTTTTTTCTTCTTATATTAAACAATGTGCATCGAAAATATATTGTAATTTTATATTTTAAAAAATATTTACATATCTATACCTATTATAAAAAGAGAATGTTAGGGATATGTAACTACTTTTAATCTCTATTTTTTAGTAAATCATTATATTTTTTAAATGTAAAAAAAAAATATATATTCTCTAAATAACTACACACAACCTTCAAATATTTTATTTATCTATAATTATTACATGCAGTTACAAAGTGTCTTCACCCCCTTTAATCTATTATAATTTATATTCAATTCCATTTTATATACTAAGGCACTAGATTAAAACATTGATTTAGTTTTAAATCCACATGTGTTTATCTCAATAACACTAATACATTCTTCTAGATTTAAAATATAAACTAAAAAAAATCTTATAAATAGTAAACTAAAATATAATACCATCTAAATTAATTTTACCCTATTTAACCATGTCTAAAATATGCTTTTTTTTTTTTTTAATAACTCATTTTTTTTTTATATTTCTGATAACAAGTTTCAAATGAAAGGCAATATAAGAAAAAAAATAACTTTCTACTAAAAAATAAAATTTATTTTTAATTAAAATATATAAATTTACCCTTAATTTTGACGTGTCTCTCGAACGTTCAAATGTTGGAGGTGGGATAATGAATAAGTAATAAGCAAGAGTCGGGAAGATTGCAATCCTAATGAATTTAGCTGATTACTTGTTTATGCTATCGATGAGGGAGATTCACCTAACTTTTCATTTTTCATGAACTTTATAGAATTCATGTTTGGCGTGTCCAGGTTCTTCGAATTGAACCATGTTTTTTTCCTATGAGAAATGCGAATAAATTAACCCGAAAACCATCCCACTCTGTTAAAACTGACAACTGTCAACTCAATCATTAATTTTAACATTTTAAAGCTTTTTATATTTTTTCAAATTTACCCCTTACTTGCACATCCAGTCGATATGGTATATCAAGAGACTTTCAGACTATCTCTCATTTGTCTACCAAAAATCACAATTCAGTGAATTCACATTCTTTTTTTCACACAAAATTACCTACCGTTATGATTTTAATTTTTTTTAGAAGATATTTAAATTTTAAATTTTAATTGAGACTTTATAATTTAAATTTTAATAAATTTTGACAGATTTGTATAAGATTTTATGAATATCACATGAAATTCTGAAGCTATAGTGCTACAAAATTTAATTAAAAAAAATGACATAAATAATAAAAAAAGAAAAATCAACACAATTTTTTTATTTTTTGATAAACAATTATCTCTATTTTTTGACAAATAATTAACTTTAATGTCCTCATAACTAACATTTAATGGAACTACTTGGAGAAGATTGATGTTTCTTCAAGTTGAACCATGCTGAGTCCCTTTTTCTCTTGAGTTTCTTCACGTCAATGGATGATTTGGATGAGTTCAAGCTTCAAAAGCTTGAAGATGCTTCCCAAGGTTGTTCGGTTTTTCTTGAAGGAGAGAAACTTGAGGAACCAAGCACAAAGGAGAAGTTCCTTTGTGAAACTTTTAGGAGAAAGAGATTATCCACGAAATTGGACTCTTGAAATGAGAGAGAATTTTTGAATTCTAAGTCTCATAAATGTCAAAAGTGATTACAAGAGTAGAAATTACAAATATAAAGGTAGGTAGCTTAAGGAGCAAGCTAACCTTAACCATGGTTCACTAGGAACCATAGTAAGGTTAGTTGACCTTCTAGGTGAGTTTAGAAACTTATGGAGCAAGCTTCTCACTTAGCTTGCTTGGGAAGCAAGCTAAGGAGAAGCTTGTAGCACAAGCTTCTCATCTCCTTGAAGGTTAGAGAAGCAATTCGGTCAAAGAAAGGAGACTAGGCAATGTGGGTGAATTTGGTCTCGTTTGGCTCCTTGAATTAATTTTAAAAATGTTTGATTTGGTTTAGTTAGGTTCATCCAATGATGATGAAACCTAGCTAAATCAAATCTATGAAAAATTAGGAGCAAAATGAGTCAATTATGTACAATTTTGCCTATGTCCAATTCTAACCCAATTACTAGTCACACCCTCAAGCATTCCTAAATGTCACCCCTCTTTTCTTACTGAAAAAATAGAAAATGAGTGTATCAACAAAGGAGGTTAAATGGAGTCAAACTCTCCAAGTAACCCATCCTAAAATCAATATACAATGACTAATAAAAGAAACTAAAGTGTCTCACAAACACAAAGGCAAAAATAAGCATATACAAGAGAACTATGTACAAGATATTTACAACTAGAACTATGTCTTCTCTTCATGATAGAGTGGTCCAAATTGAAGAGTACCTTGGGCTTGGAAAGCCCACTGGTCTTCAAGGTGTCCACTGGTCTTCAAGGTGGCCATAGCTCTAGAGATTGGGCCCTTGGCCCATGGTCCATCATCCCATTCTTCTTGGTTCCTTCAATGTATCACCTCTTGAATTCATTGGCCTTGGCCATAGTCTATTAACATTTCTTCATATATCTAAAATATATTAGTCCTGCATATATTAACATATTTTCTTTCATATACTCGAGTATATGAATGATATAATTCAAAATTATAATTTTCGATAGTACTAAATATGAAAATTCTTCTACTAATTTAATTAAAAATTTATTAGAACGATATTATTTTCAAATAAAGTTATGTAATGTTATATATTAATATAAATTCAACTTGTGTCTTAAATAAAAATAAATGTCCCAACTTAAAAATTGTGAAACGTGATTTAAAAATATTAAATATCCTTTCAATAATATTTCTTAAGGATGCATAATGCAAATTAAAAACTTCATTTTCCTTTTGAGGGTCATTACTATAACATGCAAAGTCTTTTTTAACAAGTTTTAAATTTTTATATTTTAATAATATTTTTTTATTAAAAATAAATAGTTAAATTTTAATAATTTTTAAAAATTAATAATAAATAGTATTTAATAATACCAAATTTATTTAAAATATTTAATATTTTAAAAATATTGATAAATTATACATCAATTGATAGATAAAAGAAAAAAAGAGATAGGAGAAGAAGAAGAAACAAATGAAAGATGAATAAAAAGAGATGGAGAAAAGAAAGAGAGAAAGAGAAGGAGAAGCAAGAAAGGCAACAGAGAAAGATAAAAAAAAAATGAGATAAAGAAGACAAAGAGATAAATGAGAAAAATGAATAAAGAAAAAGAAAATAATAAGATAGATAAAATAAAAAGAGAAAAGAAAAAAAAAATGATAGAAAATCAAGAAAGACGATAATTTTATTTAATTAAGTGATAAAAAAAAGAAATAGTATAAAAAAAAAGAATGATGCAAAATATAAAAAAATTTAGTGAGATTGTTTAAAGAATAAATTATATATAAATTATACTAAAATATCTCATAAAATTTATTATTTAAAATAACTCATTAAAATATCTTTATTTTTTAATACCAAGTTATCAACTGACTTTTCTAAGTAAGAAAAAATCATACTTAAATACTATTAAATTTTGCAAATTCCTAAAAAAATGATTATTTTAATTGAATACTAACATCTTTGTCAAACTCTTGATTTCTTTTAATTATTTATTAAATACCATAAATTTTTATATTAAATTTTTTTAATTAAATACCACAATATTTTATAATAAAAATTACTTCTAAAATCTATTATTACACACCAAACTTGAAAAAAAACATGTTACAAATTCATTCGTCTATCATACACTTGACCAATTCTTAAAAAAATCTATAATATATAATAAATAACGTGTAAATCGATTAGTAATTTATTTATCAAGAAACAAATTATAAAAAATCCATCTTCTACCAAAATGCTACTCCTTTCTCAAATCAAACTAAATCCACAATTTCATTCGAATAACAAGTGACATATTCATTGTAGTGACACTGGCATAAATGACGAAGCATATATATGTTCGTGCTCAGTTCAGTGCATTGGACAGCAATTTTTTTTCTCCCAAATAACAGTAAGAGCAAATGTTTTAAACAAATTATATTGCAATTAAATCTAAGTAATTTTTTTTTTACATTCCTTACAATTCCAAAAGTTGTCAATAAGTTATATTGCAATAAATCCAAGTAGGAAAATGCACATTCAAAGGGGTACATTTAAAAAAAAATCAGATTAGATAAATATATAAAAATATATATAAAACAGTTTATTTTATTAAAAGATTTTTTTTTTTTAACTTTAAACAAACATGCCGTTATCCACATGAAAAAAATTAATGTATAGGAAATTTATTTAATGTACGTAAATATCCCTTAAAGTGCAATATGAGATTGACCTTAATGATGCATACAAAAGGGTGGAAACTAAATCTAACAACACCCTTTTTTCTTTTTGTCCAACAATGATTGCCCAAAAATTATGTAACAAGACTTTTATTAAAGATAAATGGCACACCAATGCTATCATTTTTTTTTTCTTTAGGGAAGAGAGATGGAGATATAGCCCAACAATTGCTTACTACCTTGTCATATATATGGGTGCATCCTTAGCCCAGATATCAACTTAACGTCCAACATAATTGGGCTGGAATGATGTAAGTGTACACAGCTGAAAGGGCTTGGTCAAAGGAACGAAGAGAGAGTTTATTGCAACAATATGGGCTGGTTCAACACGAGGGAGAGAAAAGAAAGAAAAAAAAAACAACACAAATTAAAGTCTTGACGTACAATAATAACCTTCTATTTTAAGCCCTAAAATAATTAAAACTAGTCATTTTTTATGCTTAATTAGAATTAGTTATTGATATGTAGTCTAATTAGTTTGATAATCATTCTAGCCTATTTTTTAATTAAATAATCTTTTTAATATTAAAATATCACTAAAATTTTAAGTTGAAGTCCATGAATAAATTTATTTATGCGAATCAATTTTTCTCCTAAAAGTTAAACAAACAAAATATCTTTCAAATATATTTTATTTATTAGAAATATAAGTCTCTTAACAATTGCAAGCACAGTTATAAAAACAACATGCAATAAACTAATAGTTATTAAAATGCTAGTTCTATTTATTTTTTTTCCCAAAAATAAACTAAAAAATAAAGAGGATGTCACAATATTTTTTCTTATAAAATATTCATCCTATTATAGTTTAATTTGACAGTTAAATTATAATAATAAATAAATATAAAATTATACCGAAGTCGCGAGCTGCAGTATTATTTGTTTATCAATAAAGACACCGTATACAAATTCATAATATTAATGAAAACAATTATGATTCCCTGTGTTCCACTGGTTAGGGCGTGAAAATATCTGATTTTATATTTTTATTATATATGTTTTGGGATTAGATAAGTAGGTGTTATTTATTGGTGTGCGGTGTGGTAAGGCGAAAGAAAAGAAATAGCGAAAAAAGCATGAGCTGCAACGGTTGCCGCGTCCTCCGGAAAAGGTGCAGCGAGAGATGCAGCCTCAGATCCTCCCTACAGTGGATCCATTCCCCCCAGGCCCAAGCCCATGCAACTCTCTTCCTCGCTAAGTTCTTCGGTCGTACCGATCTCATGTTTTTCATTTCCTCCGTTCCCCAACAAAACAGACCTGGTAAGTGGTAACTGCTACCTCCTACCTACTCTCTCACCAAATTCATAATATAACTCTCATCACTCTAATCGCTTCTTACTTCTTACTTCTTAATTACAGCGCTTTTTCAATCTCTACTATTCGAAGCCTGCGGACGGATCATTAATCCCGTCAACGGTGCCGTCGGACTGCTCTGCACCGGTAACTGGCACATGTGCCAGGCCGCCGTAGACACCGTCCTCGCCGGAGGCCTTCTCCGTCCTCTGCCGGAGGTTGCGCCGCCCGCTTTCGATGAATCCTCCGACGCTATGTTCTCTCAGTTTCAGGCGGTGGCGTCCGATTCTTTCAAGAGGACCAGCACTGCGGATACGTCTTTGGTTTCCGAAGAATCGCAGATGGCGAACTACAATCACAAAAAGCTTTTGAATCTGTTTGTCTAGTTTACTCAATACTGCGCCTTATATTATAATAATAATTATTATTATTCTAGAATCTAGAATATAATATCGTGAGGTTGGATCCGCATGCAGCGCAGGGAGATGGAGGAGTTGGAGGAGGTGGAATAACGCTATGACTATGAGAATGCTTTTCCAAATTCTAGCTCCCAGAGTGAGTTGAGTTTCTGGTCAATTTTTGACGCAATTTTAATGTTTCTATTATCAAATAATCACTTCAAACATTTTCTCTTCCCCTCACAATGTACACTGCAACATTACCTATTATATACTTCTCTCTCTTACGCTTCGCTTAGTACAAAACAAACAAGGACACAATTTAGAGGGGAAACGCATTGGAGAGAAGAAAAAGACAAAAAAATAAAAAAATTATTAAAGATAACACTTCTATCTTCTTATTTCTCTTCGAATTCACGTATAAAATCAATAACACTAATATCTATACATATTCTAAAAAGAATAATGAGGACATATAATCATTTTTTATTTTCCCAATTGAAATTATATTCTTTGAATATAAAAAAAAATTATATCCTCTATGAATATTATATTTTCTATATAACTATTAGAGACGTGAAATAGTTTGATCCCTCTAATAATTAATAAATTAAATAATCCTGTAAGATAACACAAGTTAAGTCTCTATGCATTTATTAGTTAGAACTTTGAATTAAATTTGACTTCTCTTATATTTTATATTTTTTAATGTGGACTTGTGTCCAAGGTGGATAAAAGATTTGTCATCTTATTGAAAAATCTAAAAGAGGTTGATGAGTAACTTTGACTTTACATGAAGTTGTGTTTTAACCTAATTTAAACTTTGTATTTGTAAAAAAAATTAAATATAGTTGATAATTAATTATAAAGTATATTTGTCATGAAAAATGCTTATATATATTTTTTTAATTTTCTTTTTTTCTTGATTTATTTAAAATCAAACGCTTTATTTTATGAGGAAAATGTTTATCAGTGTCCAATGGATATACAATGTGTTTGGCTTGGAGTTCAACTCCGGTAAACAAACTCCCTCCTTACTTTTATATTTTTTGCTTTGGAAAGTAAAAATTGCCATTTGCGTTGTATCAAACATATTCTCAAATACACATAGTCAGGTAAAAATGTTGGTTGATAAGGCTCTTTTATATAAAGGATAAAATTTTAAGTATAATACTATAGACATTCTTCTTCATAAAATTGGAGTTTTATTTTATTAATATGCATTGACACTTAACCAAAAATTATATTACATATATTATTGATGTAAAAATTTAATTTTGATTGAAAAATAATATTTACTACATGTAAATTTTATATTTTTTATAAAAGTTCATTTGATTAAAAAGGTATATTATGAACCATTTAAAAATACTTTTAAACCTAACAATTTGACTTATTCAAATAAACAACTGTTTTTTTTATCGTTATTATTTTATTAACTTTTTATAACATATTAAAGATATAAATTTATTTACTTTGTTAAACGGCTTAAGCATGTTGACTCACATAAATAGTCAAACTTGTAATCTTATTCAAGGATGAATTTATGCTTTATTTGCAAGTTTTATCATATAAACATATTGGACTTGACTCCTGTGAAGTCTAACTTGTTTTTACCTTTGTTTAATATCTCGAGTAGTAATATTTTTAATTTCCATATATTATGTTTTGCTTTAGATATTTTTTTTTCCAATACCAATTAGTTGATTAGGTTATTTAATTAGAAATAGACCGTACCAGTCGTGATCACTATTTAGAAATATATCATACCCAAATGTTATATTTACCCCAATTTGACAAAAAACTTTTTAATCAATATAATAAACCACAATAATCGTAATAAAATTCAAACTTAATATATCCAGTAAAACGAACGTATTTATCCATGATAATGTGATGACATTGACGTGCAAGGGCATTGTGTGAACCGTACGATTTGGTGACGAGGTTTGTGATGAGTTTGTTCATCCTCGGCATCCTCATCAAATAAAAGGGTGCCTCCCATGTGGGGATCGATTCTGTTTCTACATATCAGACTTTTGTCCAATATTCCACTCATAAACCCGATCAACCTCATCGTGTTAAATTTTTTAATCACACAAACATTTTAAAAGTCGTAAGAATAGAGGGTGAGGGTGGGAGTGGGAGTGGGTTTACGGTTTTTGAGTCGGAAGGTAGGTGAAGGCAGAAAAGTAGAAAAGGGGCACACATTCGAATGCATTACTTTAACGTTACGCCGCATGTGTCAGAAGATTTGAGGAATCTTGAGGTCAAAAATAATGGGAGCCGAGAATTTTAAGCATGGAGCAAATCCACGTGATAAAAATATAGATGGTGCGGTGCACGTCACAACCATGGATTTCCTCCACTAGAACTCTAGAAGTGGGTTCCACGCCAAAAGCCACCATTTTAACATACAGATAGACTTCTACTTTTCCAATGCAAGAAAAATAATGCTTACATTTTTTCTTAGCTTTCTTCATCCCTGTAGCAACACAAACCAGTTAACTTGCATTGAATTGGGTCTATTTCATCTGGTCTCATTCTTAGGAAGCCACTTCTGTTGTTGGTTTGTTTCAAATTTTTTAAAACAAGTTGATATAAAAAAAATAAGCTAAACCAGACAACGTTGGATATAAGCTTTACAAATTAAACACAACGTAGATAAGTTTAGGGTTTATTTGATTTGATTTAGGAAAGGAAAGAAAGAGGAGAAAGGAAAAGGAATCAAAAGTGAGATAATTTTTAGATTGTTTTATACAAAATAAAGTTGAAAACAATGTATATAAAATAAGAAATATATATACGAAGTCAATATATTTTCGTCATTTTAATATCCAGTGCGTTCACTTTCTACCATCCAAAAAGATTGAAAAAAAATGAGGAGATAACTCCTTTCTTTTGCTCTTTACAGCATAGGAAAGAGAGGAAGTTTCTCTCATTTATTTTTTTATGTGCATTAAGGATATTATCAACAATAGTAAGAAAATATCTCCTTTAAAAATTATTAAAAAAATGTTTATCTGAATAACGTCTTCTCGTAAGCATAATCAAGGAATTAAACATTAATCGGCATACGAAACCCACCTATCTAACTTGTCGATCATCCCCTCACTTTCTCTTTAATATCTTAAATTTCATCCATTCCAAACAATACTTAGTGTTAATGTTTATTCTAAACTAATAAGGTGTTTAGCTTTTTCTGGAATCTAAAGTTAGGAAAATTAATTTCTCACATTAGATTTACTAATTAAAATTATATTCTCAAAAATATTATTTATTGAAAATGATTTTTACCTATGTTTCTCATGATTTTGTTCACATGAAGGGGTTCATGTTTTTGAATCTCGTAGACTGTGTTCCCTTTATTCACAAATATGTTTGTTGTAACTTTCTTTAGTAGTTTTTAATTTGGGCGTTTAGTCTTTTTATTTTAGAAACAAAAAAAAAATCTCATGGAGTTAAGTGAGAATATAATATGTTTTTGAGTTAAATGAAAAGTTTTATTTCGTTAAAATGTTATGTTATTTTTATTTTTTAATTTAATATAGTAAAAATTATTGATTCTTAAGTAATATATATATATGCATGAACATGATCTATTAAGCATATTTTGATCATAAATTATGATTTTCGAGATTTATAATTTCATGAAACCATGTTTTCCTGGAAAGAAAAATTAAGTTTCCCTTCTACTAAGTGTTTGATATGCAATATGTGAAATATTTTTATTTTTTTAAGAGTTTAAAGTTGAAAATATTAGTTTCTCACGTTTAATATTACCATTAAAAAAAACATTCATAGAAAACATAATTTTTCAAAAATATTTTTTATACAAGTTTTCCAACAAGTTATCCCCATAAAGTAGTTGAAAATCTAATGTTTTGAGTTAAAAAAATATATTTTATTACAATAAAAAATATTACGTTATTTTAACTTACTTGATTAATGCAATAAAAATTTATAATTCTCTTATAATATTTATAAACATTCTAAAAAATATTTACAATCAACCAAATAGATTAATCATTCTTAAGAATAATGATTCTCAAAATTTTTAAAATTTATAAATTTTAAAATTATGATAAATTCTGGAAATCATGATTATTATTCCTTCTACAGAATTGTTTTAATAATTTATGCTACTTTTAATGTTAGGTATTTATCGTGCAAATAGATAACATAATATTTAATTAAAAGTAACAATAAAAATATCTATAAAATATAGCTTTTATTTACTTAGTTTAGGAAATGAATATCGTATAATGGAAGCCAAACTGCGACTGCCCTTGCTTTCACGAATTCACTCAGTTCGCCGCGTCTCGCACCTTTGTGTTGTCAATATGCTATCCATTAATCGCTAATTGCTAAACCCTTCACACCAAATTAATCTTGCCCAATTGTACACGTGTCAACCATTAGATGGTTCTCACCATCAATTTATGCTTTTTTTGCTATTAATATTCACTTGTCCAGACAAAAATAATTAATATGCTGTGCCATAGAATCCAATTTAGTATAAAATAGTCAAAAGTAAAATGAAGAAAAAGGTCACTTCATTTGAAAAATAAGATATTTATGACTCTCGATAGATATTACAGTAAAAATTGTCGGGACAAAAAGTTAATAGCATGTTAAGGTTAGCTAAATTAAAGAATGATTCTAATAACATTAATTATAAAAACTATAATTGTTGAGAAAAATATTTATTGTGCTAAAATTATAAAAAAAATTTGTTTATTTTTTAATTTTTGCAAATTTATTACCAACTTTGAAAATTAATTTTAATAAAATTGTCCCAAAAATATTTGAGTAATATTCACTTTGAAAAATGAATAGGAATACTGTTATTATTCCATTTACTGATGTTGGTGAGCACAAGACGACAATCGGAACAAGTTAGAGTTGGAAGAACTTTTATTTATTTATTATTATTATTTACAAAAAGGATAAAGATGAAAGTTTAAAACTATCTTAATTTGTACAAAAAAAAAAACTATCTTAGTTGGACCATTCAAATTTCTCCAATTCCCATCGACCTGATAAGGAGACGGTGTATTAAGAATATAGGCCCAATAAAAAGAGCCCGTTTTGATGATATACTACTGTATGTAGCCCACTGTTATCGACATCCCTCATTTTACTTTTTAGACTCTCTTCTTTTTTTTTTCCTCTTTTTTTTAATAATAAAAAATGAAAACTTTTTTAATTTTTATAAATTTTACTTATTTTATCTTTTAGTTTATGTAATTAAAAATAATATTTTCTTAGTTCCTATACTTTTTTTTTTCAATCCTTTTTAATCTCTATAGTTTAAGATAAATATTTTTAGATCCTAAATTTACAATTTATTTTAACTTTTTAATTCTTATTTTCAATTTTTTTGTGACATTATTTTGTGTTAACATGATAGATGTCTTCATTTTGTCATGATAAAAAAAATGGTATTTTAATAATGGATGTCACAGATAAGAGTACAAAAAAGGTACAAAATATTAAAATACCTAATTTAGAGCAATTTTAATTAAATAAATTTGATATAAACTATATAAAATTAAATTAATACCTCTATCACATCAACATAAAAGAGATAATGTTAAAAAAAATTAACAACAAGAATTATAGATAAAAAAATTGTAAATATAAAGATTAAAGATTAAAAATATATATTTTAAAATGTCTATAAGAACTAAAATGTAAAGTAAATAAAATTATAAAAACTAAAAAAGTATGTTAATCTTAAAAAAAAATGTCTCCTTAAACTAAAACACTTCAGCTATCGTAAATTAGCACAAAGATTCAGTCCGAGTTTACTTTCTTCATGATATGGGTTTAGTTGGTAAATATATCTAGTAAATTTTTTTTGAGTAAGATAAAAAAAAATTATTTTTGACGAGCATCCACTATTTTTTTTCTTCAATAAACGCTACCTTCCATTAAACACTACGTACCTTGACGAGAAACCATTTTTTTCCCATTAAACACTACCTTGACAAGAAACTTCAACGTATCCATTTATCTCTTTAATTTTATTATTCTTTCTGGAGCGGCTAGCAGAAACTTTGTTACTCCTTTACTTTTGCAATTCACAAGTCCCACTCCACTGGCAATCAATTGGTTAGGACTTACGAGTTACCTTTCTTATAAAAATAAATGAATAAATAAAAACTATAAATTCATAGTGAAAATGAATATTGTTATATTACACATGCACTTTTTGGATAATTCCCATGGATACATACCAACCCCCCTTATAATAAGAAACACACAAAAAAAAATAAAAATCAGATACCTTGCTAACCGCATCGTAATTATACAACAGATTCAACTAATAAATAACAATGCTACACTGTTTATATACATCCTTTGGAACTTCTTAAAATAACAAAGAAAAGGCGTATATATCGAATGACATCATACACAGGCACGTATCGAATGCAAGGCCAAAATAAGCACACCTATTATCACACAACATCATATTTTTCGGTACGTTAGCAATGAAAGTGAGCTTGGTCATACATACAACAGTTATATGCTCGTTACTTTCAATGTTGAGCTTCAGCCTTCATGTAAGCATTTAAGTTGAGTGAGATGCGTTCTCAGGCTACACTCTCTAACCTGCTCGTGTAAAGATTTTGTTATCAAGGTTGCATCCATACATTTGAGTAAAGGAATAACAAGTCCTTCAACTTCATGTTATGATAATCAAATGAATGCTAAGCTTCGCTACCACTTTTTCAGATACAAAATTTACCTGCATGGCTGTAACCATTGATAAAAGGTCTTTCCACTGATCGAGCAAAGCATGCTCCTTGGTACTCAAGTTAGAAACTTCAACCACCAACGAATTTACATGTACAACCTATCAATTGCAAATGGCTTTTCAAAAAATTTGGCACGCCAATGGAACCGTACATAAACCAATACTTTTGATGGTAAGTACTCAGAAAGTTTAATTTTGACTGAAAAGTCTAACAATATATTATATATACGTACATATGAATCTTCGACCAGGATTTTGAAACCAAGTTCATTACTTTACATGAGTTGTAAAAGTAAACTCGCAAATCATAGATCAAATGTATTTAAGTTTAAATGATTCAAGACAAACAACAAGATTGCGCAAGGTCAAACAAACAATGACAAGTGCTTCAATTTTTTCCCGAAAGTAAATGAAGTGGACACAAGTGTGTAATAAATAAAATTATGCAGGGGTAGGTAATGAAGAGAAATACACGTGGTAGCACGAAGTCTACAAATAACAAAAAAAGTGCATAAACAAAAGAAAAATCAGAAGCTGTAACTCTGCAGATAGTATTTGATTGTGTAATATATATCGTATATAAAATGGGGAACGATGAGGTTTGGAGTACATGGTTTGTATGCATTGCTCATTTGTTGCGGTTAATGGTAAGACTAATATACTCAAACAATCATTATGTATCACACAGTATGACATTCGTTAACAATTTAAAATCTTCAACTGAAAGTTGCCCACCGTGTAATATTGGTACTGTTATTCTCTGTTTTAAGAGAAGGGGTAAATGTGAGAGATAACAAGTATAACAGGCAAAGGACCATATCATTTTCATTTTCTGGTGTCATTACAATGCTAGACTTATGGTGTATAACAAATTTATTTACTACCATAGTAAGAAAAAACAGAATCAAGAGACGGGTGATCAAATAACTCAAATTATTAAAAGAAATAGAAGATTAAAAAAACTTACGTGCCCACAGAAATTCAAATAATAATTGATATCTAAGATCCTTATCAGTACGGGAAAAGGAATATGTACCTTTGGTAACAATAAGCATATGGAGGATGCCATAGCTTTCATTACATCCACCGCTGAACAAAGAGCATCCTTCACTTTCAGTACATCTGCCTGACAGAGAATTTTTATATTATTCCGAAAACATGTTAATATCAGTAAATCATTATGGCACCACCTATCGTGGAGGGAATAGACGAATAAACAAAAAGCAAAAAGAACATACCTTGGCCCCATCAACAACCGGAAGGCGGAGGGTGCTAGCCTTGAGTGCTTCAATAGCTCCCGAAAGTGAACTTGTGTAAACTTGATCAAGAATAGCCCAATCTTCCAAATACATCATCTACAGAAAAAACTTTTAGAACTTTAATCTTCTCTTAAAACATTTACAAGAGGATGAAGCAAGATGGTAAAATAAATCGAGTTTCTTCTGTAACTTAAAATTAATACAAGCACTTAATTTTTATAGAAACTCTTTTGTCTAATTTATTCAAAAGTGATTTTAACATATAAAAAAAACTTAATTCATTTTACTTTCTTATTTTCTTTTCTTTTAAGTGGTTGCAGAGAAATTTATCTATAAAAAAAAAAGTGTTAAGATATGAGAGCTAACAATAAGTCAAAAGCCTTATGTTGAAGAGATATAAATTAAAATCTTATTCTCAAGCTAAAAATATAGGAACAACTTGAGCAAAAGGAAACGGTAGATCTTACTTGCTCCTTGAGGATGGAAATGAGCTTCAACTTATGCTTCAGGAATTGTAACTCCCTCCTTTTGGCACATACAGATTCTCGTAGTTTAGTGGTGGATGCCCAAGCACCATAGAGACAATTCTGATACAAGAAAAAAAAAATTAAAAATCCAACTGTCATGTGTACATCATAAATATGATTTTATCAATAATTGAGACTATTCTACAATGAGTGGCTGGCGTGACCGAGCTGGCCTTGCTCATCTATCAAGCAAACCCAGGTGAACTATTGATATTTCCAAAGTGATGATTGATTTTTCCTTATATATCCTAACTCAATTGCTGAAAAAAAAAAAAAAAAAAGAATAGGAAAGCATACCTGAGCGTTAGAATTTTGTGCAGAGAGGTGAAGATATGCTCTGGCATTGACGAAACGCCACTGCAAGAGACGATTATAGAGAAGTCTGAGCGAATGCGCCTCGACAATTCGGTTCTCTCCGACCCTCCCTCGCTTCACGTCAACGGCAAAACTCAAAATAGAAGGCTCGTTAGGGGACGCACCGTTTCTGAGGCGCGAGGGGCTCAAACCTCTGGTTGCGGAGGAAGCCTTGTTGGGCGAAGCGGGACGAGTGAAAGAAACTTGGCCCCTGCTATTTATAACTCCTCCTCGCGGAGAATGCGACGGTGAGTTTCTCGGTTTCGGAGCAGAAACAGCGTTGGTTGCTGCTTTGGCTTTGTTCACGGTGATCCGAAACGACTCGCCCTGAAACGACACAGACAGGCTCCTCGTTGTTGTCGAACTTAGAAGCACCTTTCCGGACGACGCTGAGGTCGGTGTGGCGGGTCGTCTCCGCGAAGGTGATGACGTGGCTTCCACCATTGCGTGGGTTCAGTTGCTGAATTCGTGTTCTTGGGCAGAGGAATAAGTGTGGGAAGGAAAGGAGTGAAGAAAAATAATGGGAAGGAAGGATGTTTTGACCGTTACGGTTGAAACCCGGGATTTGGAGTCTAACTGTCGCATTAGTACTAACACATCACCTTTCGTATTTGCACGTGGGACTTTTCCACTCCCTCACACAATGACATCACCTTTTTCCCTATCTCCAGCACTGGATTATGGTGGTGGTGAAAACTAGAAAGAACTTATTTGGGGCAAAACATCAGAATTTACCTATCATCATATCTACTACTAATTAATTTGGTTAGTGTACAATCAATCAGAAATGGGACATTCTGCAATCTGCATATCTCATTAAGAATGTCTCAAGGTTTGACAAGGACAACACAGGATATGATTAAAGCCACTTTGAGTCCTCAACTCACAAACCCACGCTTTTCCAACTTAATTTAACGGTTTTATATTTATATGTTACACTTACACACAGTATTTATTAATTTATTATCAACTGACTAACCCATCAGGTTGTTGTAGACTAAGAATCGCAGTCACAAATTATCGAACCATGCATGGATCTACATAGTTGATAGTCGTGAGTTTGTGACAAATAATAACAAGTCAACAACAATAAATATATACGATTACGATTTTTTTTATATAAATATAAAAATAGGAAAACGAAAATAATATGTATCCTAATAATGTAAAAAAAATTACATTACCATTTGATAATAATAAATCCTCGTATATATATGATAAATTTAATTATAAGTTTTGAATAATTAACTGGTCATGAAAAATTTTTACACGGTACATAAATTCTTTTCATCTGGAATTGGAGTATTTCTACACTGTATGTTTTTACTTTGCCATTTTCCGAAGCAGCTGTCTTACTTGGAAGCATGAGAAGTATAACAATGAGTAGGATTACCGAAGAAGGCTCAAAGGTTGATCACAATTTAAGAAAAGGAGTGAGATGAGATTGCTGGTTAAGAGGACCACTTATCAAACCTGTGCTATAAAATTACAGTTAAAGCACGATCGCTTAAGAAACACTTCAAACAATAATTTCAGTTTCTAATCTAGTCCAGTCCAGATAATGTTTGCGAACACAGTCACATTATTGCAATGAGTTGGATGATTGAGATAGTGGAAGACTTGTACCGAATTTTTTATTGAAATAATATTTTTTTAAAATTTTTTTACCCAAATAGCAACTATGCGAATTTATTTATACCACTAGAACTGTTTATTATTCATGTTCAGAACGGGCCGTTCCGATATCGGGCCGTTCCAGATTCAAAATTAACACATGACAAATGAAATCAGAATGGGCCGTTCTGAATTTGGAACGGGCTGTTTTGGTCACTTCTGATGGGCCGACATATGGAACAATAGACGTGAGCACACATTGATGAGTCATCCAATACAAAACCCATTGTTTCACACACGATAATACATGGAATGGTACATGGCCAATTCCATCTACTTCCTATCTAGGCTTGTCATTATTAACCAATAATCTTCATGTCAGAGCTTGCATTGTAGTAGTCGTGCCACATATAGGAAATAGATGGAATTGACCATGTACTATTCCATGTATTCTCGTATTTGAAATAATGGGCAAATGACCCATCAATGTATGCTCACGTTTATTGTTCCATATGTCGGCCCATCAGAAATGGCCAGAACAGCCCGTTCTAGTTTCACTGTTCATGTGTTAATTTTGAATATGAAACGACCCGTTCTAATATCAGAACGACTTGTTCTGATCCATTCTTCATGTGTTATTTTTGCATCTGGGACGGTCTGTTCTGAACGTGAACAGTAAACAGTACTAGTAATGTAAATAAATTCGCACAGTTGCTATTTGGGTAAAAAAATTTTAAAAAAATATTATTTTTGTAAAAAATTTGACTTATACCAGGTATTATTAAGGTTCAAGAAAAGAAAAGGTAGCTAGTGAGAAACGAGACACACCTTTTGTGATAGGCTTATCAACTTCAAATGGGATGGGAAAGGGTGATGATATTTTTTGGAAATGAGAAGCAATAATTTTAGCTTAAGCAATAAGCAAACCAACAGCACTGAGTCTAGTTGGAGTGTGGTGGTACTTAATCGTTGTATGATTTTCCATAAATGCCTGATTGTGTTTTCATTGTTGGTGGTTATCGTGATATAAACTCTCGGTAGAAATGCCATTTATGGAAATAGTATGGTGAGGTTTTCATAGTTTATACAATTACAAAGTCCCAAGTTAAGGTGTTAAAATTAAAATTATATATACAATAAATAAATTATTCATCTTTCACATGTATAAATAATATATAAATATATAAAAATAGAAAATAAAAAAATAAAGCTAACAAGATTCGAAGATATCTGATATGAAAAATAAATGTACGCATATAGCATAGTAAATATGTTTAAAACGTGTTTGATAATAAGACTCAAAGGAGTGTCTTATTAGTTCCGCACAAGTTATTTCGCAGAGTTTATGAAAATAAACTAAAAAGATTTTATATATTAATCATAAGATATTTTTATAACAAGGTTCTCATAAATAGTGAAAGACGAGTAAATGGAGGATGTTTGTAACATGGGTCTGCCAAATCTTGTAACTATCAATCCATATTATAAGCCCAAATTTTCAAGCCCAATTCAAAATAGCTACGAGCAGCTAGTATGGTTTGGGAGACATTGGTCCATGTCTCTTGGGCCGAATAGTTCATTATAATTTTTTTTAATATAATAATAGTATTATATGGAGAGCGAGATCGTGTGAGAGATGGAGTTCGAATTCTACGATTCAGTTGACCCACGGTGTTCTTGGCAGGAGTCGGTGACTGATTTAAGAATTCTAATTATATGAGTGTTTCAGGAAATGAATAAATAGAATTCAGAAACACGTTTTCCTCTTCAATTAGCTAATTTCTAAGGTTAGTCTCTCTTTTTACTCAATTGATTCGTAGATCGCACTTAGAATTTGTAACTGGCTATAGTAGTGCTGTGCTGACTTGTAGCTAGTGTCTATTCTCGGATGTGGTTCATCGATATTAGCTTATCTTGCTCTCATGCTCCACGTGTTTGGTTAATTCTTGCATTTAGAAAGGAAAACAGTGAGTGAAGTAAAAGCAAACATAGAGTTGGAATTAAAACTTTCTCAAGTCTCTTCAATGAAATGTTTTTACTTTGATGTTTTGATTTGCTTTAACCCCGATGTTGACCCCATTCTGGGGTTTACTGGGATGGAAAAAGAAAGGTCTGAGAGAATTGGTAAGGAACGGAGGAGAGGTGTTTTAAAACATTTTGAGTGCAATGAATAAAATATCTTTATTTATGTTTCTTAATTTAAAATCACAAGAGTACAGAGGGAAATTAGTTTTTACAGAGATATAAGTAAGAAGAAAATGAAGTAGAAAGGAGATATACGTTTATAAAAGTTGTTTATTTATTTCTTCACCGTTTATTAAGTATTAACATTATAACTAAATATTTCCTTTAATGCAATCCCACACTTTGGAGTTTAGATGTTATATATATTGGAAAAAAGTTATTTTATTTATTTATTTTAAAAATAACTTTGGTGAAAATGGAACTACAAGCAGCTCTAATAAATTATAGGCTATTAGGCTTTATAGCTAAGACTAAGAGCTATTATGCCATTTTTAATTTGGCTTTGAGAATGCGGGAAGTATTTTGGCTGGATCTGGCATTAAAGTTTGAAATGTCTATGTTATGACATGCATACTTCAAATTTACACCAGACAATTGAATTTCCGTGGTCTGTGTTTTTACATTTGGATCTGATGAAAAATTTGGAAGCGTTATGATTGAATTCTCTAGTCAACACAAAGCAGTAGAGCTTGTAGTTTAATTTATTGCAAAGTAAAGAACCTTACCAAGGATTTACATGTCCGGTATCCTTTTGAAAGAGAGGGGTGCCTTTGAAAACATGGATACAAGTGGTGTGTGGCTGTTGTCAGCACATGTTGTAAGGTTTTGGGATAAATCCCACAACAAGCTTAACTCCTGTGTTTAGTCACCAACGATGAGTTTGGAATCTTGAACAAAGATTTAGTTCAGATTGTGGTTTGCAACTTGCTTGCATCAAAAGTAATCACCAGTCAACTACAGTGATGAATTTTTTCCCAAAACCTTGTACTCACTGCCCTTCACACTATGGGAGCTAGTCGTACCGAAAGTTGTTATCTTAACTTCAAGGAGGAGAAAGCCAAAGGAAGTTTCAAAATCTGAATGGCTAAATTTATTTCCTTTAATGCCTTATAATCCTTTTTAAACAATTTAGTTTATTTCTCTCTTGCTCATTGAACATCTTTCTATGTTTTATATATTTTAGTATATATTCCTTACTTTTTTAAATCATTGGCCTGTGGGCATGTCTAGGCTAAACAATGTGCTTCAGTTAGGCTGAACAATGCTATATGAACACCTTATTAATCCAAACACTGCCTCATTCACCACCCTAAATGATTGTATGGAACTCCTCATTTTGCACTGAAATGAATAGAATTCTGTTAATCATGTGATTCTAATTTGTTTAGTAACATTAATAAACAAATGCTTATAGGCCTAACACATATGTTGATTGCACCATATAGGTTCAGCTGCTTCCTGTATAAACCAAGATATGGTGTAAAGAAAATTCTGAAGTGCTGTTGGTTAAAAAGATCAACCAAGATAACGGTGCATAAAATTCTATGGACCCATCTATAGTGAAGCTTTTGGAAGATGATGAGGTTTTCTCCTCTCTTCTTTATGCTTTCTTTTCAGAAAACATTTGTTGTTGCTGAATTGGGGCTTAATTGGTCCTATCACTGTGCTTGGATGTCCACAGGATGAAACTATGCATTCAGGGGCAGATGTGGAAGCATTCCAGGCTGCATTAAATAGAGACATTGGAGGAGATGCATCAACTTCTCAGCTGTCTGGTTCAGACACAGGTATCCATCAATTTACTTTATTTTCTGAGCTCATGCTGTCAATAGTATCTGAGGGTGAGCCTAAGTGCAATGATGCAATAATAAAGTTGTTGCCTTGTGGCATAGAGGTCACTTTGTTCAAATTCTGGAAATAGCCTCTCCACTTGGAAGGGTAAGGCTAAATGATCTACTCTTCCCAGACCCCACTTAGTGGGAAGCTTGTGCATTGGGTAGCCCTTTTTGGCCTTTCATAGTATCTGTCTCTTTGTTTCTTATTCTGATCTCTTTGTTCTTATTGCTTGCTATGCAATTAAAATTCAGTGTTTATATAAGAATTCAAAATGATAAAAACTATATGGTTGAAGACTGAAGTATTTTGGTTGTTAATGAAAATTATTGAAGCATGCCTCAAATTGATTTCTATGTTTATCCCGAACAGTATTAATTATGGAAATCTACAGTATTTGGTTCGATTATGAATTATCTCATTCCTTTCAATGAACGAACAAACCACCTTCTAAATTCCAGATCTAACTTTTTTGGCACAAGCTGAAAGAGCACTAACCATTGTGATAACATTTGGTTTCACATCTTTCATTCACTTACCCTTTCCCCAAACAAATATAATGCCTTCTCTGGCAAGCTTCCTTGTATAATGGCAGTTATTATGGCATCTAAAGAAATAGCTTTTCCTGGAATGCTGCTGAAAACTCTATGGGCCAAATCCAGAACCTCACTTGAACCGTAGAAATGTATTGGTGAAGTGAGTATGAAGGAGTTTGAAACCAAGGATGTTTTAATAACCATTCCATGTAAAGTGCTGGCAAGATGCAAAATGTTGACCTTTAAGGCGGCCTTGAAGATATAAGGGAAAGGAAATTTGTTTGGAAACTCTGAACAGGAATGCAGCATACACAAAAGATCAAGAGACTGTGAGTTCTGAGTTGGAGGCATAGGCATGAAAATGGTTTTCTAAGAACACTAGAGACTTGGTTGCAGGATTTGATCAACATACTTTGAGCATATCTGAGGCAGGAGAGTGATGAGAGAGTATAGGCTAACTGTCAGTCAGTTATTTGCTGAAAATATGAAGGTCACACAAGAGGGGTGCATGGAGTATCTGAGCATGTTTTTGCTTTAGCTAAACTGTGTTTTTTCATTAGTCAATGAATTCCAAGAAATTAGTTGACTCCACTCCTTTTGCATGTTTGCATCAAAACAGACGGGGCTTACTGGGGCAACCTGTCTCTTTATTCAAATTCTAAACTACAATTTTACTTGTCAGAAAATAATTTTTTATTTTATTATTTCTATAATATATAGATGATTAAAATTTTTTTGGTGTGCTTCCCATCTTTGTCAATTGAAGTAACTTTCCAATGGCCTACAAAGAAAAGTGCAGATTCATCACTAGTTGAGATACACACACCCAATGCATTCAATAAATAACTTTAGGGAACTATAGATGCCGATGTAATGGGTTGGACATATCTGTTCCAAAAGTTGAAATAATAAATGAATTTCCATTTCAGTATCAAATTATCAACTAGGGATGTTGCTCCTTTCTTCAACATGGTATCTGTGTGGTTTGATTTCTTGTCCTTTTGTTAACCCCCTTAACTTTCTTGCTAAGATTCTCTTCTCATTACCTTATACCTTATCTTTTTGCCTTTTTATTTTGTTTACTAATTGAAATGGATAGCAGTTTGATTCATCATATTCTGTTGTCTAGTTAGTTTTCTTCCTATCTCCTTAAGTCTTGATAGTTGATACTATTGTTTATTACATTTTTCCTTCTAGTTCCGATTTTCTATTTGAAAAAAAAAAATTGTATTTGATTGATCGGTAATAACTTGATCATTAGTAATAAGATATTCTTGGGTCCTGTTTGAATATATAATCAGAATCGTTGTAGTATAGATCATACTGACTGTTGATTCATGTGATATTTGTATTTGCTTGGTAAATTCTCAGTTGCACATGCTTTGTGCCACTGTTGATTGTTTCATTTTTATCTGAAGGAAGCAATAATTCATTGAGTCAGTCATTACCAAAGTGGCCAACTTCTACCCATGACAACCAAACTGACTGTCAAAATCAAGAGCCTAAAGTTGTGCCGCAGCAAGAGCAACAACATTCTTCGGAAATGGAGTTGAAGCAACAACCTCTTGTTGAACAACTACAGAATGTTGCTTCTCAGGATGCCAATAATCTCCCTTCATCTCAGAAACAATCTCAAGATGAAAGTGACCAGGACCATACTGGACAAGCTCCCCACCAAAATTCTCAAACTAATGGAGTTCAGAATTCTGAAAAAGATCCTGTCTTTAACCATGAGGTAGTCAACACTCATAATCCCAATCATGAATCTCAGTATGCAAAGCTGCAGCAGATGAGTAATCAACAGGCTACTGTCAATGAGCAGCCTAGCAGCCAGGTCAATCGGAATAAACAGGTACCGTTTGCCATGTTGCTCCCTATGTTGATTCCCCAACTTGCCAAAGACAGAGCCATGCAACTTCAAACTTTATTTAATAAATTGAAGGTTGTTTCTCAAACCAATTTCACTACAATGCTCTTTCCCACTCTTTTGGGCTAAGTTTTTAACGTCATAGTAGGCTTAGCCATATTACTAATTTTATGTTTTGTCAATTTTGCTGCTATTTGCTTTAGAAAGATGAAATACCCAAAGATCATTTTGTGCGGCTTATGAAAGGTATTGTTGGGGATCAGATGCTTAGATTGGCTTTAACAAAAGTTCAATTACAGGTAGGCAGAGAAGATGGTTTGTATAGTGTTAGAGATGGATTTTTCTTAATTCTCTATGTCATTGCTTTGCTAAGAATCATCCTTTTATACTGTTTTAGACAAGATCCAACCCAGGGCCTTCTGGGCAGCAGCATCCTGTGAGGATGCCAAATGTTAATTCAGGTGCAACAAAATTTAATGATCCCCATGCATTGGCACAGCTGCATCAGAGAAGTATGAATGCTGTTGCAGATCAATCTCATAATACTTCAGCTGTCCAAATGAAGAATGAACCAACTTATCCAACTGTGGACATTAATGCTAAAAAATCTCGGGAACTGGATGTTCAAGTAGAATCTCAAGGAGTGCCACCAAATCAGTTGCCATCATCCAGTTCTAATGCTGTTAGTCAAGAAACTGAAAGATCCTCACTTCACATACAAGGCCTTAATAAGGAGCAACAACAGCATCTACATTTCCCTTCAGCATATGGTAGCAGTGGTGGTAATTATAGCCCTTTTTTGGGCTCAACCAGTAGTTCCACATCATCTCTAAGACCACAACATCATGTTCCACATCAAAGCATCAGTTCAAATCAATTAGGTGGGGTAACACAGGGTTTGATTGGTATGACAAAATTTGATCAGCAAAATTCTTTCAATGAGCCCAAGAGAATGCCCGGTGGATATGTGTCTCCCATGGTAAGCAATACAGCATCAAAACAAACTTCAAATTCTTGGCAACTGTCTGCAAACAAAGAACAAAATTTTGGCTCATTTTCATCTGTTTCATATGTCAAAAAGGAGCCTAATGACCTGTTTAATGAGCATCAACATAGGCATAATTTGTGTAACATGCATGGGCTGCATTCTGTTAATTCGGTGCAAATTGAACAGGGTAGCAGTGCCAATCAAGGCACTCTAAAGGAGGAGTTTTCAAGAGGCCTTCCAGCATCCACAAGTATGCCACATACGACATCTAGCTCGCAGCCTCTCAACTCTGCATCCTCTTCTGTATCTCAATTGGACCATGGTGCCACTGTAAGTTAGAAACTAACATGCATGTGTTTTGTCCAAGATATGATGGCCTACTTTTTTGGGATCAAATAGTTTCCTAATTTGTTTTTATTTTCATGGGCATGATGCATCCTTTATTAGCATGATATATTGAATGCATCTTAACTGTAAATTTACAAAACACTGAAGTCTTTCAGTGATTTGTATTCTGGAAATGGCATCATTTTACTTATTTTGTTTCTTGGGAAAATCTTCTTCATTACTATTATAATTCTGTGAAACATTTTTTAATATTTGAATTTGACTTTTAATATTGAAGTAATTAATAAATTCCCCTCTTTTTGATTTGGTAGAGTGTTATTATTATTACAGTATGTTGAGGGATTAGGGAGCTTTATTTCATTGATTCTCTCTCTCTCTCTCTTTTTTTTTCTCGGTTTTCTATTTTGTTCTTTTGATTAGGAAGATTTCTTATTCTCCTATCTCTTGGCTTTTCTTGTTGTCTCAGTCACTTTCTTATTTTATCAAAAACAAAAAAGAATCTCGTAAAAGAGAGCTCATAAGGAGAGTTTAGGCATCTCAAAGTGCCTAAGGAGAGTGTCTCCTATTTTTTTTCCCTTCCTTGTTTACACTGTAAACAGTTCTATATTTCAGGATCTGGTCCGTAATCCCAGACCTGAATATGTAAATGATATAGATACTTCAGTTTCTTTCTTTACTTGATACCTAACAGTAAGTTACTCTTTGCTTAAGTTAATTTTATTAACTCCGTTCTAGTTGTATTGTAATAGTTTTGCACCAATAGGTTTGATACTTTATCACAGTAAGTCTCTATTGATGCTTGTGGGTACATTGTTTAGGTATTATTGACTATGATATTAATGTCCAAGTCTCCTATATTTGGCTGACATCTCTAAAAGTAATGTTTTTGAAATCTTCATTGTACTTTGACTGAATTCTGCCTAGCACCCACAAACCTAATTACTGCATGTTTGGATACACGTTTCAACCAAAGAAAAATCACACAAGTTCTCTTAAAAAATGTGAAAGCCTAAACTATTTGCTTACAGTTTGATATGAAAAATCTCTACACTACCACTGAACCAAACATGCAATTAGACTAGCTCTTAGATTTGACTTTTTATAACCAACTTATCTCTTGTAAAATGGGTCTTGCCTTGAGATGCATACTATTAAGCATTAACCTTTAATCCATGCATTTCTACTGCCAATTGATGCAGTACCTTTGACATGAAAGATATTGCAAGTTTCAATGAAGAGAAAAAAGTGTATAATTATGTGTTTAATTTCCCTTTAATATCCTTTAGCTTCCTCTTTTGAATTTTCAAAGCATTGCTATTACAAAAACATGAATTCAATTTAGTTTTTTTTTTTTTTTTTTTTTTTTTTTTTATTTTT